GAAAATTTATTTTTCAATTTTTTGTTAAGATTATAAAAAAAAACAAACTGTTAACAACTCGAACTGCCTATCCAATAGCAAATATGATGTAATGAACAATTAACATCTCTTGTTTATCTTTTTGATTGAATGGATAATTCTTCTTGCTAAGTTTGAATTGAACATTGATTTGCTAAGTTTACGGAAAACTGGTGAAAACAGTAGATTTATTGAGCGAATATGAAACCTTTACCTAATTGAATAAAAATTTGATTCAAGTCTTTAAACTCTTTTTTCTCTAAAATTTGTCTTATTTGTTTGCTAATTGGTTCACTTACTATATATCAAGGGATTGTATATCAAGAGAGCATGATATAATACATATATATATATATATAGATATATATGCATGCTGAACTCAAATACCAACAAGGGATTGTAATGAAGGGGATCTTAATAAAATTCTAGTACTTGAATTGTATCTTGCTGTTGCTATATATCATGTATGTATATATAATTTAGTTAATAATATAATTGTAAATTGAATAAAAAAAAAAATCATGAAAATTAGACACAGAACTTTTGCTAAAGATACATTGCGAACATTCCACCCAATTAATTAATCACCAAATCAAACAACAAAATGAATCCTTCCCAAAACCAAAAAAGAAAAAAATAATCCTTAATTCTCAAGCATTTTTTCAATCAAAAACCCATTTTGAGAATCAATCTCTCCACTCTTAATTTCTACTTTTTTGAAGAAAAAAAAAATCATAGTATAAATAAATTGAGAATTGAGATCAAGTGGGATTCTTCGTGTTCATCTTGCATTGTCTTTTAATTCATGGCTAATTTCATCATTTGGATTCTTCTGACACAGTTGTTTTCTTCTCTTCAACAGCAACTTCTTCTTCTTTCTCTTTCTCTTTCTCTTTCTCTTTCTCTTTCTTTTCCTCTTCCCCATCCCCATTAGAACTCTTTGGTTTCTCTTCTTCCTTCACCTCCTCTTCCTGCTTTTCTTCAGTCTTCACTTTATCAGACTGTCAACCCATTACATATGTATAAATATATGTAAAACTTGTTAGATATATTAATATTGATATAAGATATAAAGAAGGTACGAATGTGTGTGTGTATATATATATACCTCGTCGAGTAAGGAGCCAAGAGACTGGGTTTTGTTGTCATCGTCCTCTTTTTTCTCTTCTGGTTGCTGATCGGCTTTCACATCTTCCTGGCCCTCCACAGCATCAAACATCTCCTCCTTAGCAGGCTCAGGGGCTGCATTGATTTCATCCTTCAGTTCTCTCGGAGCACTTGCACAAGCACCCATCTTATCTTATTCTTATTAATCTACTTTTTTTTTTTTTGTTGTGTAATTTGAAAAACAAAAAATCTTTCTCTCTCTCTATATTTTAGAGAGAGAAAGCTTGAACAAAACCCAGAAGTCTGAAACCAAATCCACCAAGAATGCTATCGCAATGCATGAGGTGTGGTGTGTTTAAGAGATTTATATAGACTGGTTCTTTGTGGGTGTTGCCTAAATTTTCTCCATGGTGAAGAAACATTCAAGCAAAGGAACTGGTTGGCATTCATTATTTCTCCTTTTTTTAGGGACAAATTAATTATAATTGTTGGTACTTAATTATTCTAATGGTAATTAATTAGTGGTTTAATTGAAAATAAAAAAATAATGGTTTTGTGGGTTGATTGCTAATCACAGGTTGTAAAAGTCTTTGATGAATCCAAATCGTCTATTTCATAGACTAAACATGATTAATTAAAATGCTTGCTTGCTTTATTTTTTTTTTTTTAATTAGATTTTAAATCGGGTAGAGATATTTCTAGCTTGTTTATTTTTCTTTTTCTACATTTAATACTAGCTATAGCTTTTTGGTGCCAAAGTGTGTGTTATATAAGTTTTTAATTGTTATATTGTAATATTTAAATTAATTTTTTACTATTTTTAAATATTTAAATTTGTTTAATTACTTTTTCCCACTATTTTTTTTTATTATATTAGATATTATCTATTAAATATCACAAGTGAATTTTTTACATGATAGCCGATTAGACATGTAATTATTTATAATTAGATAAATTTTTATATGCAAAATTTTTAATTATTTTTTAATATAATAAAAAATTAAAAATTAACATAAAAAGGTTATTTATTTTAAGATTAATTTATTTAATGGAGAAAATTATTTCCTTTAGCATCACATTTTTAAAAAAATAAATAAATATTTTTGCTATTGATCCTCCACGATTAAAAAAAAAAAAAAAAAGGGAATGTTCGAACTAAAGACCAAAAAAAAAAAAAGAAAGACTAATTTGATCTGATCCAAATTAAAATACACCATCTTTTATTTTTTAATATTCTTTCAAAAATTTAATAAACAATATATACACACATATATATATATATTTTCATTTCGACTTTTTATATTCTTTTTTTTTTTGTTTTTTTTTTTTCTTCTAATTTATTTATATGTATTTAACTAGTCTGAATTAGGAGGACCCAATTTTTAAGTCTCTAATTTTTTTGGTCCCAAGTATTATCCAATTTTTCAGTTTGGACCCTCCAATTAAACAACCAAATTCAAGAACTCATCCATTAAAAACATTTTCTTTAATCACTCCTTAAGCCCACTTCCAATCCAGTTTAAACCCAATAACAAATTCAGCTCACAACCCAACTCATCCAAGTCCTCCATACGACACCGTTTTCTTCTTCAGTCACCCCTTCGACTCTCAGACTGGAGATATTAGTTCAAAAGAAAGCTATTCACTCTCAAACAAAATAACTAACAAACAAACAAACAAAAACCCCTTACTCTGATCTTCCTTACAAAAAATCCTATTTAGAAACCTAAGAATCAAACACCAATCAACGAAGAAGAATCGTACGATTGATCTTCTCTGATCGAATTAACCAACCAATAAATTGGACAGAGTTTTTCGTTGCGAGCTCGCATGACCATCCTGCCTTGGCTCTGCTCCTGCCTGCGCACGGCTATA